CTCACTTGGCTCGGCTCTCTACTTAATGAGAGAGTTTGTTTTGGCCTCAGTTAATACGGCTCCCAGGGCCTCCTGGGCAGCCTGGCCCTCCCCCGCACATCTGCAGCCCCTGCCCCTCGACCCTCATCCCCTGCTTTGCAGACTCACAGCCAGGAGACTGATTGGCGTGGCCGAATGGGAAGGAAGTGGGCCTGGGGGAGAGGCATTTCCAAATGTCTGATCTGCAGCTCCATGCAGGAACCCTGGGCTGGCCCCCAACACCCAAAGAACTCTCTCCAGAGACACGACATGCTACTGTCCTCTACCTGCAGCAAACGAATTTAATTGTAGAGACCGTACCCAGGCAAAACTGAGGGCTTTAGCCCAAGAGATTGCCCGCCTTGATCATCTTTTCTCTCCTCCAAGCCTGGCCTCAGTTCATGCTGTGTGGGAATTCCATCTGGTGCAGGTCAATCACTCCCAACACCCAGCATAGGTGCACAGCCCCTTCAAAGGCTCCCCTTGGCCCCCAGGACAAAATCCAAATCCCTTATCCTGCCCACCTTTTCAGCATAAGCCCCACCCTTCTCCCTTTGCATCCTCATTTCAGCCACAGTAAACCACTCACAATTTCCCCAAAGCATCATGCTCATCCTCACCTCCAGGTCCCTCTGGCGTTTCTCCGTGTACCCCTTTCTCTGACTAACTGCTCATCCTTCAGGTCTCATCCCCCAAGCCTAAAGGGGCTCCTCTTCTGCACTCCCCAGGCGCCATCTATGCCATGCATTGTAGCATTATCCCCGTCGACCTCTACCACTAGCCTTTACCAGCTCAGGGCCTGGCACTAGAAAGTGCTCCATAAAGATTTGCTGAATGGGTGAGTTTTTGAACTAGGAAGGCCCTTATACATTCCAGTTCTCCTTCCCCTTCCTTGCCCATCAATCTCTAAACCTTACCTAAGCAGAAGTAGATGCACAGTTTAAGTAACATAATTGGGAAAGAGCCAGAACTAGAATCTGTCTATCCATTCATTCATTCATTCACTCAAATGATGCTTTCTTGGACATCTACACTGGGCTGAATGCAGAGGATACAGAGATAAACAGTCATCCCTTGTTCTCTAGACACACAGTTTAGGGGAGGGGACAGACATAGGGCATAGGACATGGTCTAGGCTGCACAAGGCAGGCCAGAATAATGGTGGTTCAAATGAGGTATGTTACTTTTCATTCACAAGAAAGTCTAGGCTTGCTTGGCAACTCCACTCCATGAAGCCACCAGGAGCCCAGGCCCCTTCTACCTTGTTGCTCACTCTATGCAGGAGTCAGAAGCAGAACTGAGGGGTAGGGCTGTCTCGTGAGTGATAATAAAGCCTAAGAGAGAAATAAGGAACAGTAGTCCGTAAGGCCTGGGGATCACCCCACAGGATCACCCCAATTCCACATGCCAAGGGAAGGAGAGGGAGGCAGAGCGAGGGGAGGCTGAATGGGGTGAGGTGAAGGGTGAGACGCTCCAAACAGAACTGCCAGGAAGCAGCTGGAGACGTGGGTGAGATGTGCCAGGGACGGGGATGCGGGCTGTGGGTTTGCATGAGAGAGTCCTCTTTACAGAGATAGAAACTGGAGCTCATGAGGACAAGCTTTCCCAGGGGGAGGGTGCAGCGCAGTGACCTTTGACCTTGGATGTACATTCCAGTCCTTCCGGAAGCTTCTGTAAACAGGATGAGAACCTAGGCTTCCCGGTGCCCCTACTCCTGTCACAAAGAGATTCTGACTTGGTAAGATTCTGGCTTCAGTAAGGTTTTGGCTTTGGTAAAAGGGGGTGAGGCCCTATCTGTAACTCTGGGTTCTTTTACTTGCAAGAGAAGAAACCCAACTCAAACTGGCTTGAGCTAAAATGACTCCTGTAATTGAAAAGTGCAGGCGTGGATGAGCTGGGTGGGTTTCGTTCTCAGGATCTTTAAGAACAGTGGTAAGATGCCCCCAGCAACAGCTGATATTCTTTTAGAAAGCCCTTCGCAAAGAAATAGCTGTCCCTTCCCAATCATTCTAGTCTGATTTTCAGGAGCCAAGTTAGTGAGGGTTTTGGGAAGAGGGGGGTTGATGCTGTCAAAGCCACAGTGAGAGGAAGAGAAGTGGCATTCACTCCATAAAACTGGGCTTGGTTGGAGTGATTGGCAGGATTTTAAGGTGCAGAGAACAGGTGAGTGAAAGATGAACTTGCTGGCAGAGGGTGCAACAGGAACAAACATATAGAAGCAGAATAACACAGAAAAGACTTCAGGAAGAGTACAGCCTGTATGCACAGGGGCATTTATTTTCTTAGCTTTCCATTCTGGTACCCAGAACATCCGTTTTTACCTAGGATAGGAATGTAACCACGACCACAGATTGAAGTCAAATGCTTTGGGTTAGTTCGCATCGGAAGCCCTCTATCTTCTTGCTACAGACAAGGAACCCTATTTCCCAGGGACTCTTCCTGAGCTACAGGATGCCTGCCCTTCTTCCTGGGAACCCCCAAAGCACCTTATTGTGACCTTTACTTTGTTTTGCGGGTTTTCACTCTTCTGCCTTTTGTGGCAGTTGTTTCTGAATGTGTCTTATCTTCCCTACTGGATTTTGAGCTCCTGGAAAGCAGGGTCTGTTTTACTCCCCGGTCTCTAAGTACCAGGCCCCTCTTTTTCAGAAAGAGATTTCAAGATAAACCTAGTTACCCTGTATGCTTAACCAGAAGGGAGAAGTTTTCAGGGTAAGAATTTCAGATAGTGCATGAAGAAGAAAAGGACATCTGGGGATAGGGCCCCCCTACTCAGGCTAAGGTCCGCCTCCCACAAGCTGTTACCCCAGCTATCAGTTGTGGAAAAAAGAGGCAGTGACTCATTTGCTTCCCCTTGGGATTGAAATTTCTTCTTGTTTCACAACTGGGAGCCCAGAGGGAGCTGATCTTGGCTGGCATGAGCAGACATGAAGCCCTAAAGAAGGAAGCAGATACCACTTATTGAGCGTCTACTATGTGCCAGGCACTGTGTTAAGTGTTTTTACATGCATTACCTCTATATGTTCTCCCAAGCTTAAATTCCCCTGTTTTGTAAATGAGAAAATGGAGGCTCAGAAACATTAGGTATCTCTGACATTGACAGAACTGTTGACTCCAGAGTCCCCTGGGAAGTTCCCGGGATTTGGACATGTTATTTTTGATGCTGGGATCAGGCTAGCAAGGTACCCTTCTCCTTCAACTCCCGATCTCAGAGGATGTGCCAGCCCCAAACCTTTTAGGCTTCATTGCCTTAGGGTTCCTGAGGGCCCCATGAAGTCCTGAAAGGGAAAAGATCAGCTTGTGGAACAAGGAAGGATGAAACTAACCCCCCAGGTCAGTTCTTTCATTCCCACTACTCCTGCTGTCTGGAGTAGGGTGTTTAGGGGCAGAAGCTGAGTCCAAGTCCCTGAATCCCCTGGCAGTACCTCTCAGCGCAGAAATTCTCTGGCGCCCCCTGGTGGTCTTCAACACCACTGTGTTTTTCAGGGATTGCCCTGTGCCGCCCAATTGAGACACCCCAGCACAGGGCAGAGGAAACAAAACCACACTTACCCAATGTCCACATCGAGGAAATGCTAGAGCTGGAACTGACCCAGAGCTCCTGGCCACCAGTCATTTCCGCAGCATCCTTTCTAGTCCTGCAGGCAATGTTGTAACACTTATTATTTCTAAGTACTATGTTATTATGTTACCCTATCAAGTATGCCACACTATTAGGTGTGCCATATGATGCTGTCTCATATATCAAGGCCGACCAGGTCAATATATAAAATGTGAAGGTGGCACATCCTGTTATTATAAAATGGAATCACAACACTCCACCCCCACTTCATTTCACGTTCCAAGGGCCAGCCTTTTCTCCTCTGCGCACTGTTCCTGGGAAGTAGGCTTCCTCAATAAACTCAACCTCACCACCTCATTTGCAGGAATGTCAAGAAACCCAAGGAGCTAAAGTCGCTTGGGATACAAATGTTACTTCAAGTGGGAGAGGTGACAAGAGAAGAGAGGAAACTACAAAATGCCCTTCAGGCAGCCTCTGCTGCGGCAGAGGAAGTGACAGCAGGAGGGCGCAGAGCGAGGAAGGACTCTCACAGGGATGGAGTAGCAGTGCGTGAGAGAGAATTGATCTCCTTTGATGGCCAGTTGGTTGGGGCAGGCTGGTGTGACCGCAGAGGGATGGAATAGGTCTCAGATAAGTGGCAGGCAAGCTGGGAGGGCTCAGGACCGGCAGGCAGGCAGGCAGGCAGCAGGACCTGCCTCTCAGATACCCTATAATGAAACTTTCTGCTCAGGTTTTATTCTCCTGTACCTTGCTATGTCCTGGTCCTGAGAGAAAAGGGCGCCGGTTCTGCTGCCCCCTGGACGGCTGACTTGTCACCGGGGAGTAAAGGTGTGGTCGTCCGAAGGAGCCCCATCCAAGGAGCTGGGGAAGCTTCAGGACTCCAGAGGCGCAGAGCCCAAGGTGGAGCAGGTTTTGGGAAGCAGGGAAGGGATGAGACAGCGGCGGTGGTGGTGGTGGTGGTAGTGGGGGTGGGCGCTCCATGGCAGCGGAAGGGATTCAGATCGTCCTGCTCAGGACGTGGAGATCCATCTAGACGCCTGACAATAACTCAGCCGGGCTCCTTGGCGGATCCCAAAGGCTGACTTTCCCAACTCGTCAGAAAGCAGAGTGATGCATGGCTCCACGACTTCGGCGGAAGGCAAAGAGGGACCTCGGTGTGAATCCGGAGAAAGGGAGAGAAGTGAAGCCCCAGCTCCACTCCTCAACCCCTTCCTGCCTATAAATAACCCCAAGTGTCACTTCAAAGGGGACAGGGAGCGCGGGAGAGGGGCTCCCGAGCCTGGCGGGTTAGGCAGTGGGCCCTGCACACCACGCCCCTCACCCCGGGCGAGTTTGCATAAATAAACAAATCTAAGCCGTCGGCCCCGCTGGAGGTGGAGGAGGAGAGGGGAGGAGGAGGAGGGAGGGGGCGGGAGAGATTAGTTTGGGAAGTAGCACGGATTGCTCATCCGATCCGTGCAGCCGCAGCTAGTGTGTCAAGTTACAGAGGCGCCGGAATCGGCTCCAGGGCTCCTCAGCAGTGGCCACGACCCACCTTTGCCCATGGGGCCCTCCATGTGCGCCCCTTCGCCCTGGGACTGAAACTGGCTCGCCTGGGAGACGCTTGACACCAAGAAGCACCGGCAGCGCAGAACCAACCAAGGACTCTGCAGATACTTGAAGGGAAAGACGGGGCGGAGAGGAGAGCCGGCCAGATTCTCCTCACTTTCCTGGACTTGGAAGATTCTTCGAAGTAACTTTGTCTCACCTGGGCGTCCCCCGATTGCCGCTGGTTGTGTTTTCTCGGCTTTCTCCGCTCCTGCTGCTAATTTTTCCACCCTCTTTGCCGGGAGCAAAGGGAAAGGGACATTTTCCAGCGACACAACCCCTTTCACCCTGCCCTGCAGCTTGGCTCCTGCCTTTGGTCAGCGGCTCTCGCCTTTATTTATTCTATTTATTTATTTATTGGTTCTCAAGACTCGAGGGGATGGTAGCAGAGCGCGCCCGCAGAGCGGCAGCCGCCGGTGCCCGCGGCCCTGGGGAGCTGGGCGCACCCGGGACGGTGACGCTGGCTGTGGCGCCCGTGGAGCGCTGCGCGCGGCTGCCGAGCCCGGGGTCGTGCGGGTTGCTGGCACTGGCCCTCTGCTCGCTGGCGCTCAGCCTGCTTGCCCACTTTCGGACTGCGGACCTGCAGGCCCGGGTGCTGCGCCTGGAAGCGGAGCGTGGGGAACAGCAAATGGAGCCGGCTATTTTGGGACGAGTCAACCAACTGCTGGATGAGGTCTGTGCTCTTTGTTGCTGTCTTTTATCCCTCCCCGCGGCGCCCCCTCGCGCAGCCTCCAAACTCTCCACCAGCCGGTGCCCGCGGGCGCTTGCTATCCGCGCCCCAGGACTCGCACGAGTTGTCAGCGGGAGGGGTTGGGGGCGGGGACGGATGCTGCCCTGGCAGGAACCCAGAGGACCCGAGCGGCTTGCGCGGGACCCCTCAGCTCCCGCCTGCGTCCGGCACTCCCGGCGTCCCGCGCTGCGAGAGCTCTGGACTCGCGGCGGGGCAGGTGGAGAAAGGCATGGCTCTTGGAGGCGCGCGGAGGCAGCCAAGCTCCAGCTCTCCCTCCCTGCACCCTTCCAAGGTGGTGTGAGAGTCGCCCAGCGCCTACGCAGCTGGACGTGTGCCCTGCGGCCCGGGCGGAGGCTGGCTGAGCCCCCGCGCCCTCCCGCTCCCCCCCATCTATCTCTCGAGGATCAGTCGTGCCTGATTTTCATTGCCAACGTTCCTTTGGGAAGAGAAAGTGAGGGAGTGAGAGAGCCAGAGGGGGCAGTACTAGCAGCGGGTGTTTTCCTGGTCCCTGCCCATTGCCCCAGCCCTCTGGGGCCCAGGTGTGGGTCGCCCTGGCTCTGCATACCGTCTTCTCCTAAACCAGGTTTCTTATTCTCTGCCCCTTGGAATGGTCCCCCAACATTTTGTGTCTGTGTGTTTTTCTGGGAAGAGGACTTTGAGCTTCCCTGTTTCCAAAATGTTCTTGGACAGAAGTAGTGTCTCTTAGCCATGGCAATCTTGTGTGTACGTGAAAAGACCCATCCTCCTTAGGAAGGAGGGACATGCAGTCTCATTGGTGCCACCATAGAAAAGGCTGGGAAGTGAGAGCACAAGGCCTGGTGACTTCTGGGAACCTGGACAGCACAGGATTTCCAGAGCCCAGATGAAAGAGAAGACCCCGCAGGTGAGGGCTGCAGCAATCTGGGAAGAGGTCCTGGAAGAAGCTGGCCATGGACGGTTTCCATGGGAAAAACTGGGAGAAGGCCTCTTAGTAAGAGGTTGTGTAGAACAGTGAAGAAGGTAATAGAGTCCAGCAGGCCTGGGTTTTATGCCCACTCTGCACCTTAGAAGCTGTGCAACCTGGGGCCAATACCCTGACCTCTCTGAGCTAACAAAACGGTGGTGATGATGGCAAGCATTACAGCCCAGCGCTAACTGTAGCAGTATTGTAGCCATTCTAGAATAATGCACCAGTTCCCTACAGCCAGGCCCTTCTCAGGTGCCCCCACCAGGCAGAAGCTGGTACCTGCAAAGCAGTTCTCCAGGTTGGTCAAGGAGAGGGAGGTCACAGAGCCAGAGCAGAGAGGGTGGCCACAGGGCAAGTTCACTGGTGCTAGTGGTGCACCCATAATGTCTGCCATCAGCTCATTCCCATGCTCTGCCAGGCCTTAGGGAATCCACAGGCCTCTGTCAGGCTGCCACAGTCCCCTGGGCCTGGGGGTGAGGGGTGGGATGCGGGGAGGCTTTAGGCTCAGCAATGCAGGCAGGCAGCCTTCGTGGGCTGGATGAGAGCGTGCAAGGACCTGGCTGTGCAGTGGAGAGGGTATGAGGGCAGTGAGGGCTCTCCCAGGCATCTCAGGGACCCTGGTTTTGAGGGACAAGCCTCGGATCCTAGGAGTTTCGCTCAGTTCCTCTCACCATCCTCTCCCCTTCCGGGTCCCTCCGGCTGACCAGGGCATGATGCCCCAGCCCTTTTCTAGATCCTGCTTCCTCTGCTTAAGACTTAGCCATCCAAGTCTCACGATAGGGCCTTGGGGCTGACAGTGTTATCTGACATGCTAATTCTTCCGCTCCAAACTGCAGCATCACCCTTACCCCCACTGACTTCTAGATCTCTCATCTGCACAGCATCTGAACTGACCCCATTTCACAGATGGGGAAACTAAGGCCCAGGTTACTCAGAATCTCATGGTGAGATCCAGGTCCAGAACCTAAGCCTCTTGACCCTACTCCCAGCGCTCTTTCTACTATGTACTGCCACCTTCCTTTGTCCGTTCATTCATTCATTCATTCATTCATTCATTCAGCACATGTTTCCTGAGAGCCAGCTATGTGTCAAGCAGTGTGGACACATTTCTGCCCTCCTAAACTTACAGGCAAATAAGACACAAAGAAGAAAATGGGCAGTGACTATGTCATGTGAAAAATGCTACAGTAATGGAAGCAGAGGAGGCCGAGGGACTGTATTAACATGCAACATACCTGATGGTGGTGACTTCCTGGGAAAGTGATTTTCAAGTTAAGACTTAAAGGGTAAATAAGAGCTTTCCAGGCAAAAGACGATGAGTATGGGGGCCTTTTTCTCAGGGCAAAGAAAACAGCTTCTGGAGGCTGGAAGCCAGAGGGAGGGGTTTGCCGTGGGAAACTGGAGGAAATCCTGGAGTGCTAGAAGGCTGGAATGGTGACAGATATGGCTGGAGAGGGACAGGTGAGCCATTGAAGAGTCTAGAGGAGGGCAGTTATGTCCCTAGAATGGGAACTTACGGCAGAGCAGGGAGGCCAAACGAGAGGCTAGTGCAGGCCAGAGGGGACTGTGACCAAGACCAGGGGTGCAAGTGGGTCAGAGAGGAGTGAATGGAGATGGTGGCAGCAGGGATGGGACCTGAGGTTAGTAGCAAAGGGCCTTGGAGCCAGAGGGAGGGAGCTGTCCTGTGAGTTCCAGGGCTGGGTGGCCTGGTCTGTGTGAAGACGGCCCTAGCCGTCTCCTGGGTGGGGCCTGCAATCCAGGGGCTCGTAAAGGGACACTCTAGGGGCTGCACTGTCTAACACGGTAACCGCCAGTCACATGTGACTCATATTTACATTAACAAAATGAAATATTTAAAAGTTAGTTCCTCAGTCACACTGGCCAGATTTCAACTATGTGCTCAGTAGACACTTGTAGCTAGTGGTTCCCAGACTAGACAGCAAAGGTATAGAACATATATATCATCACAGAAAGTTCTATGGGACAGCTCTATGGCAGCAGCAAGATGCTTCTGGGCCAGCAAAGGTGTCCCCAGAGCAACCTGAGGCCCCTCCTCCACCCTAGGCCTTTCCTCTCTGAGGTATGTTCTCCCAGTTCAGAACAAATGACACAGGTGTGAGGAAGGGGTGAGGCAGAGAAGGAAGAACTGGGCCCAGTGGAAACCACTGGGAGAAAAGAAAATGCAGAGAAGAGAGGAAAACATGGTTTTGTTAAAGAATGATCCTATGAAATGGATGTAAACAGGGTCTCTGCTCTCAAGGGGCACAAGGCACCCCTGTGTGAGCCTAAGGGTCCAGGCTCAGGACTCCAGCTGGGCTTTGCCACCCACCTCCCCAGCCTCAGGTTCCTCCTCTGTAACACCCAGGCCCTGCCTGCCTCTGGGCGATGCTGTGAGACTCTCGGGAGATCGCAGATGGAAGAATGCACTAAAAGGTGCCGCCTCCAGAGGCCATGCTCAGGACCACAGCAGTGCTTACGGGGGGCTCCCAGGGACCTGAGGCAAGCAATCTGTCCTGGGGCAGGTGGACCTGGGCCACTCCCTGAAGGATAGGAGAAGGGCATTGGGCAGGGCCCCTGGGGAAGCACACAGCCTGTGTCGCGGCCTGGAGGCAGGAGTCCAGGGGCACATGCGCGCCTCCCACCCGGTGGGGGACGCTGCGTGCTGGGTCACAGACTGTACCTGTGAGGCCAGAGGAAGCGGGAGCTGGCAGGGAAGGAGGCGGACGGGATACAGTAGGAGAGGAGCATGGAAGGAGGCAGGCCAGGGGCAGACGTGAGCAGAAGGCCCAGATTGGAGAGGCCAAGTCACTGGGAGGGGAGGGTCCGAGCTGAGAGAGGAAGATAGGGGGCGGGGCG